CCAGGCTCTGGTCATTTATGGCTCACAGTCTGAGTGTTTGCTCCAAGGTCACATAAAAAAATCATCCAGGTCTCCTGAATCCCACTCTAGTGCTTCTGCCACAGGGATGTCCATCCTTGCACAAGTAAAGATTAGGCCCTGGCCTTGGAGGAAAAACAAGCTGTTCTAGCAACCAAAATGATGTCAACGCAGATGTTCAGAAAGAAGAAGAGATGGAGGGTGTTTGTTTCTGCTCTTGCATTTAGCAACTACTGCGTTTGTGGTTTGGCTGAGCAGGAAGTTCTAGGAGGAGCAGACCCAAATGCTGGTTGACTCCTGCCAGAGTTCATTCTCTTTTGGTAATGCTTTATACTGCTTTATACTACAACAAGGCAGTTCTTGCCTCTCCATGCGAACCCTGTGACAGGACTACATTTCACATAAGGCTGGGAATGAAATTTAAACACTGCCAGGTTGCCAGGGAGTGTTGGACCCCATGGCACTGCAGCTGCTGAGGGAAGAGGGGCAGCTATGTGATGAGAGATGCAAACAGAGAGTCAAAGAGGCATTGGATGCGAAGATGGATTGTATTCAGTATACAATCCTGACTTTGCCTGAGTTTTCTAGGTTGCTGCTGGAAAGATTTTAGGAGATTAGGGGAAGACTGAAGATGTAATTTGTCTTCCTTCCTTATAGACTGAGCTTTTGCAATGAGAGGAGGTGGGAGGTGCCTTGGGGAGGCAATGGGGAAGAAGGCATGAACATATTACAGCTTATTCCTGAAAGGCACTGCAGACCACTTCTGATTACCCACAGCAAATCTCCTTTCCTACAAAGTAGTGCTGGCCAGCAGGGAGGGTGATTGCAAAGTTTCAAGACAGGTTCCCTGGGCTGTACTCGGGCAGAATGTGAAGCCACTGCATTACTATCAGGATTACTCTATTCTTAGCATCCCAGCTTGTGTTCACCCCCCACATACCACTATCTAAATATAGTCCCTATTGAAGGACAGATGCTGCCAGCTTGCATCTGACCCCCTCCTCTCTTGCATTCTGTTCCCAAAAGCTAGGCCGAATTCCCCCAAGACACATCCAATAATCAGCACATCCTTTTGTCTCTCCAGAGCTGTACAAGGAACCTTGCACTGTACTGTTAAAGCCAGATCCGAGACGTGGCCTTCCTGGCCTCTCCTAGCACTGGCCTTCCCTTCAACACCTTTTCTTCTTCCTTTTCTCCTCATTTGTTGCTTTCACTCTTTTCCTTTTTTCTCCTCAGCTGCTTCTGTCCTTTCCCTCCTGTCTGATTCAATATGATCAATGAGAGGAAGAGGACAGAGTAATGAAAGAAAACATGCTTATGTATGTGCATGTACGTAGG